AGAAATAGCACACAGAGATGGTATACAGTTTGGGCAAAATTCTGAATTTCATCTCTGAACTGCATGGAGGTCAGGATGGATAAAAAAAAAAAATCAACATTTTAAATAAAAAAACCCTGTTTTTTTATTTAATCATCTTTTTTATTTTTTAAGAAACTTTGAAAAAAAATAAACTTATAAAAGATAGTTTTCATTTAAGATATGTTAAAGCTCAAAGATATCATCATGGAATAGGGATTATAACTTCTAATTATATACTATTTGAGACAATGTATTCATGTAACCTTTTCAAAAGTTTTACAAATAGGTCACAACAGGCCATGGACTATATTAGGGGCCCAATCTTATGGGGTTCCCAGAGGCTCCTCTATAGTTTAGTAAAGAGTGAAGAAAACCACTCTACCCAATGGGTCTCGGTGCCCAGTCTAATGGACTCCATTGAGCATCTCTGTGATGCTTAGTTTCAGTTCTCAAACTGTGGATTTGTGTCTCCAGAGATCACAGGCAGACACGGTTCTTTGGGGACATGGTCCATCTTTTATTAGACCAACTAGATAGTTGGAAAAGTTGCTCTTTGCAAGCTTTCAGGCACAAACGCCCTTCTTCAGGCATAGGGAGAGTTTGTTGTCTCCAGAGATAACATCTTTGTTAACAGCAGTACATGGAGATGAGAGATAACAGACCTGATTACCCACCCATCAGCTCTATTGTCTCTCTGCAAGTACCTGTACACACAGTCAAGCCCTTGCCTTTCTCTAAAAGTGCAAAGTTTCAAGAAGTTAAATGAATAAAGGATATCAAACAAAAAGAATGCACTTTTTGTAGAAAACAATGATTAAATCAAGGCTTCCTGACCAGAGATTAAAAATTGATTCGATTTAAATCAAACCCAGTCTGGTGGAGGTAAAAGCAGAGGGGGAGTGAAGACCTCTCTTGTCATCCTGCTTACATAGTACAGGAGGGCTCCAGCAAGCAACAGGTTCTGGTATATAATGGGGCACTGTGAGAAGATAGACATATCAGTAAACCTTAGCTTATGGTATACATTAGCTTATGGCATTTCATTCCACTCTATGCAGGCAGTGAACTATAAGAAACAGAAAGTCTCTCTCAAGAAAAAGCCTCTTGGGGTGAACTTGCCTGCTGAA